GAGGTCTCAGGAGCCAAAACCCCAGTTTTAGCCACTCTGAAGAAACATCTTCATGCCAGGAGTCTGTCTCAGGAGCGCTTTTAATGGAGCAGTTAATATCTAAGCTTATGTTTCAGAGGGGGCAGGGCACCAGCAAAGAGCACTGACATTGAGCGATGGCTTCAGCAGTTGATCGAAACAGTTTAATGCATTTCCGTTTCCAGTTGTGTGGATCCAGCAATGCTTCTTACTTATTTTCAGTATCACCCCCTCCTCTCCTTCCTGCTCTTCTGTTTGCTACATAGATAACAGGGGAAATTGATGCTGACTATTGCCCGCCTGGCGTACAGCATTGCCAAGGGGTTCAAAAACAGCATGTGACCAGGAATAACATTTGCCAATGTGTGAGCTTGAATAGGAAAACGTATCTGTGCCCACCTGAACATTAGTTTTAAGTGACAAGGGCAACAGATGCCGCAGCAGGATGTATCCTGGATGTATTCCAGGTCAGGGCAGAGCCAGACCTGCTGGTCACTGGCCCTGTGGCAATATCTATGTCTTGGACTATGCAATGTCTCCTGTCCTGTTAATCACGATAACTGCCCTACCAAAGAGAACAACAGTCTGCTTTTCTGATTACACCTAATATTCACCATACTTTGAAGTTAAAACACAGTATCCCACCTGCTGCTTAATAGGCAAAACTCTACCTAAGGGCAATAAGCCTAATGCTCTGGAGAACAATCCCAGATGACTGTGGACTATTGTTTTGGATCCAGAAGGGGCCAAGTTTGCAGGCCATGTTATTCCCGGGAAGGAGACACATTCATTCCTTTTCTAGTCTTTCTTCCTGCCAAGTTCTTACATGCTGTGTGACCCAAAGATGAAAAACAGATCCAAGACAAGGTCAACCCTATGTAAATATCTCCACTTCTTTCTCCGGGTACTTAAGAGACACCAAGACTTCTGCCAAAGACAAAAAAGGCACCAGCAAAAGTCTGCTTATCCAACCATCAGGATTTGGTGACCTAATTAACATCTCAATAGAGGAAATAGGGGTGTTCTGCTACCAGGCTTTGGTGGTTATCCAATGAGGGATATCCCATTCAGGCGATCAAGTGAGGGCCTGAGACAGCAAGCTGTGAGTGCTGTGAGGGGGGATAAATCTATCTGTGGGAAAATACAGGAGTAGATGCATCTAGAATCAGGTGTGATGAGGATGGCAGGGTTCAGCTGGACTGTGACTAGGCTGTCCAGTAGCTTATGACAGGCTGGTTTAGGATTGACAAAGCATCAGAGCTGACACAGGATTATTCAAACATGATAATGTACTCGGATTGGAATTTACGCCACACTGTTATAGGAGGTTCTAACAGAGCAAATGAAACATTGAGTAGAGTAAGATGGTCATCTCAAAGGCCAGTTCTAGCAGAACAGCCAGAGTTTAGACTCACTACTGATCTTTGTAATTCATGGAGATGCTATTTTGACTACGCTTTTAAGAGAAGTGGTCAATATATTTTTTGCAATTTGTTATTATATACTTGCTAAATTTGTATCTAGGTAGCATCCTTTTCACCAATCCACACATGCACACTTTCTTTCCTCCTTTCATACACGCTGGTTCAAATGACACTTTGTATTCCAAAACCCAGAGTGCTGCACATTTTCAAGCCCAGTGTGTGTTTTACAGCCTTACACTATCTCACCTACACCAGGTGACCCAGCCCTATTTTTAAACCCACCTCTGCATGAGGATTCATCCTTCTGCTGGATTTTTCTTGAGCAAGTACCTGGCCCTGAAAAAAAACCCTCTACAACAGCTTTAGCAATAGCATTGATATTATTAACAGCAGCACTCTGCCCTTCCATTACTATTTTTATTTCAAGATTTCAAAGTGCAATGTTTATTACGCCCCACAAATCCTTGAAAAGATGGGTCAGTTTTATTCCTGTTTTGAAGATATGGGAAAAGATGACAAGAAATTGTCACTTCAAGTGGTAGCCAGATTCCCTGGAGTTCTGACAAGCCCAATCTCTCGTTCTACCCAGTATACACCACTTCTTCATCCTAACCACAGAGCTATAAGGCTGCAAGGACTTTCATGAACTTATTAATCTTCCAAAGCTCTACAGTTCAGACCAAGAAGTCCAGGGAACAGACCATTGAGCCTGTCAGAGAGCTGATGATAGACAATTACAGCTCATAAGATAAAAGGAGAGCAACTTTTTTCTGCTTGCAAAATACAAAATAAAAAAAAAAAAACACCAAACTTCTTTTATTCTTGACAGCTGACTTGTTCTTTTTGTCTTCTTATTCTCTTTCTGCTACTGCAGTGCAGTTGGCAAAACCTATTTCTGGGCTAGTTTGTTACAATACAGCACTATATGCATGAGGGTGAGGGGAGAAAAAGAAAAGAAGAGAGAAACACAGAAACAGGTTCTGACATCTAATCAGATCTGCTGTATTGATTTTGCAACTTTAGCTTTGGAGCAAATCAGAGAAACAACCACATTATCACCCAGAATTCGTTCTTCCCTTGAGTGAGCGAGTTCAAAAGGAGCTCACACCGACACAAACAGGCACGCTTGCATGCACACACACACACGTGTGTGTGGGCGCACACCCCACCTAAGCAGCTCTCTGGGGGTATGTGCGGGCTTGGGGGGAGTGAGGGAAGTGTTCATCACGGAGGCTGCAGAAGCCACACGATCCCCATTTCCGACAAGATGAGAATTCCAGAGCAAGCCACCGGACTAATGAGCTACCCACGCTGGCGAGCAGTGTTTCAATTAACCACAGCAGCCCCCGCCACGGCACCCACCTCTTTCCAGCTGCATGAACAAGGAGGATAGGGATAAACATGGACTGTGTTGTCTGCTGGGTTTTTTTGTATGGAGGGAAAAGGGGGAGCCTATAAAGGGGACGAGGGCAATTCTTGCCCTACTTTCTTGCTTCACAGTTTGTTTTTTATACTGATGGAAGGAGCAAATTGACAGCCCTGAAACCAAAGCTGCCTGCTCAGGCACAGAACAGGCAGTGCCACCGCAAGCTCCTTCCACAGTTTCCAGGCAGGAGGTGGCAGCTCAGTCCAACAAACACTTTGTACACACCCAGCTCCAACTAAGGGCACACAGAGCTGATGGAGAAGGGAAGAGGGCTGTTTGGGTGGGCTGCTGCATGAACTATGCCACCACTACTTGGGTGAGATCACAATAAAGCATTGCTTGGCTTTGGGAAGAGCTATAGGAAGAGTATGTTGAGCTGGTCTTTACACAGAGGTTCATCACATGTTTACCTTCTTGGGTGTCACATCAAGGGCTCTGCCCCAGAACAGCCCTGGCTTCTACCTACCACCTTTCTTGCATGGGGCAGTCATGTCCTCCCTCTCCAGCCCAAGACTCAGGGCTGTGGTTCCCCTCCAGACCACTCAGTAAGCCTGAAATCATCCCAGGCTCGGCACTGCTGCTCCCTCTGCAGGGGCCATGAGTGTCAGTGAGGACCACACAGGTTTCAAACACCAACACCAGGCTGGGGACACCAGCAGGTCTGATGGTTCTCCACTCAAGAGTGAGATTTCATTGCGCCTCCCACCAGTTCTTGGTGCTGCATGTCCTGCCATGCCCCATACGCCTGACTCAGCCTGCCTTCCAAAACAGCTTACACCAAGACACACATTCCCAACCTCCTTAAGGGAAGCTTCTCCATACATCCTTACCTGCGTGGAAATCCGCACACATTTCCCTGCCCCCATCCTGTAACATAATTCCTGCCATGCTCCTGAATGGACAGGTTTAAAAAAGGGATATTCAAATACTCATGCAGTACTTGGCACACCTCGGTTACCGCCATGCTCCCAACAGCTCACATCTGTCAGCTGTGTGTCTGGTTGGCTTCAGCCAGGTTATCCGCTCCGATCTCACTTCTCTTCTTCCTGGAGAGTGAGCCTGGGAGGAGTGTGGCAGCATGACTAATGAGCGCTGCTGTGCCATACATGGAGGCTTGTCAGTCACAGCCCAGAGGCAGCATGCCAGGGTGCAAATTAACCTGCTCCTTACCCATCCCACACCTGCCAGATCTGTGCTGCTTGGAGGAGTTCAACAATCTCACTACCCTGACGGGACAAGGTCTGCAGGGAGGGCTACACCTACAGTCGCAGCTCCTTCCAGACCAAGGCATTTTACCCAGCTGCCTTCCCCCGGTCTGATTCAGTCTTGAAGGAGAGAGCACAGCCCCCTACATGTCAAAAGACACCTCAACAACATGGGAGCTGAGCAGGCACTCACTTCTCTGGAGGGAGAAACTGCTGCAGGAAAAGGATGGAGACAGACCCAACACAGCAGCATCCCTCCCACTATGTTCACTTTTATGCACAGATATCACCTTCAAGCAGGGCTGGGAGCATCACCCATTGCTGAAATTACTTAATACACCACATGCTAAAAATGAGCTTTCTCATTCTGAGTTTACTCACAGCTTTACTGCATGGAAACCATTTGGGATTATGCACTGCATATTGGGGTCTGCACAGTGCTGCTTCTCAGACAAAACAGTTCAGGCATGTTAAGAAATGGCAGCTGGCGTAACTAAGTCGAAGAAAGGGCTGTGGGGTGGAAATGATCTGATTATCATTCATCTGCTACCTTTTGAGTGCTTGACCGTACAATCTTACATACCCTGAAGGTGTTTTACACATATGTAATGCACACACACACCTGGTAAAGCTGCTGTTCTGTGCTCATCCACTGGTAGGGAACTGGAAAAGCACCGTGTACAAACACACACAACACCCCTTCCTTCCACACGCTGGCCATACGGTATCCTGCCCTTGTATAGCCAAGCCAATTAAATACAAACTGTGCAAAGGTCCCCAGACAAAAGAGACGTCTCTGCTCAGCCCAGTAAAAAAGGTCAACTTTGCCTGAACGCAGCACTGAGGGTGTCAACCTTGCTTAGCGCACAGTCTTTTGTGGACACAGGCGTTCAGACAGGGGCTTCGGTACTGTGTGGTTATACTCACACTGCACGTTGAGCTGCACCAGGGCTTCCCGGGGTCTGATGTTAAAGCCGTTGTACCTGGCTGTCTGACATTTATAGGTCCCGCTCATTTCTCGGCTCACGCTCTCCAGGCGCAGCTTCCCATCATACGTCTCCATTGTCATTGTCCCTGAAGGCATGGGGGTTTCCTTATCTACCCGGGACCAGATGATGGGTGGCTTGGGCTTCCCTCGAACCTCGCACTGCAGCTCAGCCCTGGAGCCCTCACGGACAGTGATGGTGGACTGACCCTTAGGGACACTGATGGTTGGTGGCACTAAAAGGGAGACAGACAGGGAGAGAATCATTTTACACAGTGAGTATGGAACATTCTTGAGATGCTTGCATACGAGTCACACCAACATCTGCGAACTCCAGAGGTTTCCACTTGGCACACTGCAACCCCTATAGGAACACACTGCCTATGTAAGCCATCCTACAGCATCTGGAGCTGTGGGATACCAAGGAAGATTCCAGCTTCTCCAACAATGTATCCCAATACCAATGGCAAGTGCAAGCTGTACTGGGACATTCTTCCAGCTCCCATCCCCCTGGTTGCAAAATGCTGTCCAGCAGCAGGCCTGCACTGAGGAACCCAAAAGGAAAAGCCTCTTTGATCCACTGCTCAGTTTCCGGCCAGTGAATTTCCCCAGTGGAACTACAGCCTTTCAGCCAAGAAATAAAAGGTATCTAGTCCCCTTATCCAGGTCAGACCAAAACCAAGACTTATAGGATTAGTGCTTGTAGATCGCATCTCCAGCTTTATCAGATGTCCGGGGTCCCTGTTTGCTCCTAAACCACAGCAAGGAGCCAGCTCTGTTAAGCGCCTTTGCTTACTTAACACTGAGATTCACAGTGCACTGGTTATCTCTGGTTCACCTGAGTGAGAGATGGGTCTCAGCAAACATCACTTCTGGCATCCCTTCCAGGCTGGGAAGACCTGAAATGCTGCTGAGCTGGGGCTAGAGCTGGAGGTACAGTAACACTCCAGAAATATCCAGCCATCAACTGACAAACAAAACATCGCTAATGAAAAAAAGTTCGAAAGAAACCCAGCGACTGCAGCTAAAGGGTGCAGAGGTGTCAGTGGGAAGAGGTTTGCTGTTCACATCCCCACCTCCACCCAGAGGCCAGGAAGGGGGATGTTTGTGCTAAAACCCATGCAATATTGACATTTTATTTGTATTAGGCTTCAGAGTTAACAGTTCAACTGAGGCAAGTGTGGCCACAATCATTTTCTGAAAGCAGCTTTTTCAGCCCAAAAATGCTGATGGCAGTGACACTTAGATTGACACTTCAATAACTGCAAGGGTCACATACTTTGTTTCCATTTAAATCAAAGTTTAGAACTACAGAGGCTGTAACAGGCTGCCCCGATCAGTGTTAGCTCAATTCAACTCCAGCAAAGTAGAGCATGCTACAGTAATTGCACACATTGCAGCCCACAGCTGCTTTACGAGCAAATTTTGGAAGGCTCCAACCCAATCTCTCTCTGCAGTGACCTCCCTATGCAACAGGGAGGCCACATTTTCAATTTGCAGGTCTCCTGTGGGCTGGGCAATACCATCACACCCTGTCCCGCACAGCACAAAAGGGATGACAGCACTCTCAGTATCTGACACTGCCAGCTGCCTCTCACCTGGCAAGAGGCAATTTTCTCCACAGGGAAAAGCTGTAAATTATATTTGAAGATGATTTTTTTTTTTTTTTTTTTTTAATTAAAGCCATCTCCACAGAGCTGCTCCGTAGAGGCACCCACCTTGGCGGGCTCAGTCTTTGCTCACTAGGGAAGCATGGAGCCACCACTGCCACCCTCCTGCTCCGATCCTAGGCTCTGGGGATATCCTGCTGAGTTTTTACATGGGAAGTACACGTTTCTGGGATGCTGCATGCTGAACAGCCTGGGCTGCTGCATGAAAGGCTGCTCTGGCAGGGATGGCTGTTTCCACTCCCTGGGTCACAAAGTGGTCCTGCTTGCCCACGCTGCCAAAGAGGGGCTTCAAAACACCACAGTCTGCCCTCCTGCCCTTCCCTATCAGCAGCATCCACATGAGCATGTAGGGCTCAGCCTCCACCGGACAGGCCAAAGCATGGTGCAACCTGCCACCGCAGACACCTCCTTTAAGGCAGCAACAAGCAGGTGCTTGGACCAACACCTGCACCAACAGGCTTTTGGTGGGATCATCCAGGGTGTCCCAGCCCTTCGCAGCCTCCTACCCTTGCAGTCTTAAACACAACTGCACTCTGCCATCTAGTGATCTTGGGCAAAAAAGATCAGTGCTTCTGGCAGCAGCAGCCACCCAAGGTCGAGAGAGATGGGTTTGCACCAAGACTGGGGGGGTTCTCCCAGTTTTGTTCCCTTGCTGGTACAACAGGGTTGGTGTCTGGTGGCATGGAGAGGGCCCTACCTTCCAGGACTGCCACCGGAAGGGAAGAACCACCCTTCGGTGTTTAGTGGGTTCATGGCATGGTCAGGGCTAGATCTCCAGGGTGCTAGTGAGCACTGGGTGCAGTCCTGTTGGGAGCAGGCTGGCTCCCAACTGAGACCTCCTGAAGCATCAAAAGCTGTAGCACTTTCTGCTGGGGGGCTGAAGTGATCCAAGCCCAAAATCAAGACTGGGACCAGCCTGGCCAATGGTACCAGCACAACCAGGGATTGAGAAGAAACTTTCTGTGAAGGATCAAGACAAATTCTGTGGGCAGTTACCTCCCATCAGGAGTCCTCACCAATGCTGCTTTGTGCTGGACTATCAAGGTCCTGCAAAGGCAACAAGATGACACGGATGTAATGTAGAGCAGAGCTGGACCCACCACTTCCCCAGAAACAAGGAGTCAGCCCTGAGACCCTGTATTTCAGTACCCAGAGTGACTGACAAACACACCTACAGATTACTCCAGTCCTTACCAAGCCATGGGGTGAAGCTTTGACCCTGATTTTAAAGGAGGCGGCATTTATAGCACTTGGACTCCTACAGAGAGTGCCCAAGACAGACTGCAATTGCAATCCAGTAAACATTAAAGCTCTTCACAGAATTTGCTATGACAGATGATACCAATCTCCTGGCCACAGCTCTGAAAAAAGGGACATTCCTCATAAGCAATGTCAAAGTGAGGAAGGAGCAGATTTCTTTCTATTTAACTCCATTTTGAGGAAAGGGATGTTTGAAGTTTGGTGAAATACCACCCCCTCTATCTTCCTTCACAATTTGGAGGCTTCTTTGAACAATCACACTCTAAACCTGTCTCTGTGGTTTTGACTGGACTGCACTTTGGACTTTTCATAGGGAAAAAACATAAAGGGAGATCTGCTTGGTGCATAACACATCTGGCAGAGGAGCTGCCACCTCCAGTGCTACCTCATCTGTCTCCAGTCTCAGCCAAATGGTTCCCTGAGGATGTGAGAGTTATTCAAGACACTCATGTGAGGTCCTTCAAAAAATCCAGAGGCATGGGGATGGGGGGCAGCTAGTGATGCCAACTGCTCCTCTGAGGTCCCCAGCTGCCATGGAAAGGCTCACCTGTCTCTGAGGAGATGTTCACCTCCACACTGAGGTCAGGAATGGGTGCTCCCTGGAAGGTAGCCACGCACAGGTAGGTGCCATAGTCGCTGAATCGCAGGTCAATAATCTCCAAGCTGCAGGTCACAGGTGGGAGCTCAGGGTCATTCCGGGTTATGAGCAACCGGTCGGAGAACCTGGCTGGTTTCCCATTCTTGTACCAGGAATAGACAACCTTCTCCTGGGGAACAGCATCTACGTGGCATGAGAGCTTCAAGTCCTGCCCTAACTGGATGGTCTCGCTCTCTTTGATCACATCAGGGGTGATTTGAAACGTGGCATTCTTCATGGCTGGGATGAACACAAGTGCAAAACCCGTTAGGGACACCAAAGCGTCTTGCATGGGACAGCACAACAACTCTTTGTTCCTCACATCTCCATGCAATATCTGTCCAAAGATGTGCCACAGTTAAATTCCCACAAAATATCCCCAGGGCCTCACATCTGGCAGTCTGGGGTCATTCTCCAGTCCAGCATACTGCTACAGCCCAGGATGAGGCTGCAAGCAGTGCTAGCACAGCTGTGGGTCTGGGAGCAGAGAAGCTTGCACAGGCCCTTCTCCAGAATACTAATTGCTGCTAAGTATCACATTCACCCTCAGCCGTACATGAACAGTCGGGAGAAATGCACATCTAGCCCCTCCACCCTGAAAACCCACGCTCCGAGAAAAAGAGCAACTTACACCGCACCAGCAGGTTCACCGTTTTCTTCGCTGGGTTCCCCACATTGTTGATGGCTGTGCAGTTGTAGTACCCAGAGTCCTCCACACGGATTCTCCAGATGGTGAGGTTGCCTCCTTGCACGAGGCTGTTGGGAGGCATTGGGCCAGGAGAGTGAGACCAAACCACCTCCGGCTGTGGGTCACCACCCGTCAGAGAGCACTGCATAGTGATGTTGTCACCGGGGTTGACCACCAGCGTCTCATTGACAGACAATTTCAGAGCAGGCGGGGCTGGAAGAGTACAAAGATGGGAACGTCTAAGTTTGAAAAAGACCCTTCCACTTGCCTGCGCACAGTTTCGTGCTTTCTAGGATTTGTTTATGGAGATAGCTGCTTTAAGTAGGGAGAGCTGGAGGGATCCATGAATTCATTACAAATACCAGGCATTCGTGAACCTAAAATACGATCATTACCAGGTCTTTCAGTCAGAGTATTCTGCTCTGTCACAGTTAGGAAACACTGCAGGCAGGACCTCATACCGCCCCTAAATGGAGGTCATACCTCAACCACTCTGCCACTACTGCTTAGGACTGGGACACAGCTAGGGATGACATTTTAGCAGTGTTCAGTGCAGGTACTCTAGGGCTTAGGACTCAGGTTAGAAGAAAAGCCTGATAAAAAGCCATTCACACAGGTAGGAGTGGCAGCCAGACAAAATTTGGCAGTGGGAAACCTGAGGTTCAAGGTTCTTGACTCCTGATGCAAAAAGCCACCATGGTTCTGCATCACTTACCTGCACTGCATCCACCACAGAGCCTTCTGTTCCCCCTGTACCTAACTCCCCTGATACTACACAGGCCCCGCAGAAGCAGCGCTGGAGAAAAGGCTTAACTGGCAGCTCCTACCAGACCACCCGCTCCTCCCTTGCTGCAACACTATTGTATGAGTCACAGTTAGTCTGCTTATGCCTTCGACAGCAACAGCACGAGGGACTGAGCCCTGAGGAAGGGGAAAAAAAAAGGGTGCGTGTGGGGACAGGAGAACAAGAGATTAATTGTCACAAGGCACGGGAAGTTGCAGCCACAGGCTGAGCTTAGCATCTCAGGACCTAATCCAAAGCATGCTGGGAAGCTCACTGGGATGTCAGTGTTCACTGGACAACTCTCACAATTCCAGAGGTAGGTCAGAGAGAGCACCAGATGCATGCCCAGGCACAGCCTGCTCCTTCTGCCTGACAACCAGCTCTCCACCCTGACAGAGAGGTGAAGGAGAAAGAGAGAGACTGACTGAACCCAACAGCCATCTGTGTTCAAGGGCAGTTGGGATTAAACCACTCCTCCCATACAGAGTTGCCATCCCAAGAAGGAGTTTTGGGGAAGGTATACCATTAAAAAGGGACCTCAGCCATCCCATGATATGCCTCTCTATCTCTCACACCCAACACAACATCTTTGGGAGGGCAAAGCCTCTGGCAGGCAGCTGGCTCTTGCAGCTTGGAGCCTGACACAGAGGACCAGGACTTGTCTGCACCATAATGGACCACGAACAGCAGTTCTCACCTGCTCTTAACCTCCTTCACCTCCACAGGTATCAAATATACTTTTCTATAGACATGGGGCCTACAGATCAGGTCACTGGGATTGTCCTCCATGAACAACTGAAACTGATTCAAAATGTCTAGACAACCTCTCCTTTGAATATCCTAGTACCTGTGTTTGGTTTATTTTATTTCTGTACCCTTCTCACTACATCACCCTCCAGGAACTGGGCCAAAAAACTTCGTATTCTCTACTTCATAACCTGAAAACCCTTTTAAAGCCCTTGTCAGCACCATCACTGGCTCCATCCAGACAGAGCTGAAAAAGTAGCAGTCCCCAGCACAAAGGCGGGGAGCATGTTTTAAGTAACAGCCATAATAATGCAAAATAAGACATTGTTCCATATTCATGAAGCCTGATTTAACAGCATCATTATTTCTGCCTCTTCTCTCCCTGGACCCTGCGTTAATGAGCTGTGCTGAATTTGTGTTGGATCTCTGAATTACAGCCCATACAAACAAGGCGAGGAGGACTGCTCTCTCCTCAGCACCGGCGCCGTAATTTAGCAGCAAAACTACTACCATGCTGGGATATTGCTTTGGTGCACTGAATTCAATGTCCCCTCCCTAGCCACCATGCATGCTATTTGTGCCAGAGGTGGCCAGCTGTGCCTAAAGAAGAAGGTGGCTCCTCTGCCACCTGCACTGGCCATTTTGAGGCCAGTGTTTGGAGTCCTTGAATTTTCGGAGACCACAGCCTGCACACAGAGCCTTTGACAGGTCTGGTTGCTGGAGTCTTGGAAGTGTGCAAGTGTTAATGCGCAAAGGAAAGATTTATACATCCTCTCCAAGCTCCAGGTAGTTTCATGAGATGCTATGAAGCCAAAGAACACAATAGCTCAACTCGCTGTGGTTGGGCAAGACACATTCCTGTCACTAAGAGGCTGTCAGGTGAGCATTGCTGACATCAAAGGGGGCTGCTCCTGCCCTCTGACACTGAACCGGTCTCAGGTTCACAGGGCACAGATAAACTGACAGATGCAGCACCTTGTATGGGAATCTCCACCCATCACAATCAGAGCCAGAGAAAGGCTGCAACCAGCCTACATCTAGAAAGAAGGTATCAGAGTTGTGGAGCACAAACCAGAGGTCCTGTTGGTCCCATTTAAGATTCAGGGCTCTTGCAGTGTTTGATGCGCACATACCTGATCAATGCTCAACCTGCCCAACTCTGGGCAAGAAGGCGACATGGAAAATAGCGCTGGTGCAAACACTGCCTCAGGGCAGGCTGTGTGCGTGTGCCAGACGGAGGCAGGGGAACCGCAAAGCTGCCACCCGCTCAGCTTCAGGCAGTGAGCTCCCATGACCTGCCCCAAAACAGAGCCCTGGCTGTGGCAGCCTGCATGGGCTCCCACTCCCACTCCTGTCAGCAGACAGAGGTTAACAGTCTGCAGACATTGTTATGCAGGAGATGAATCTCATTTATTTGTAACCTGTGGCAATTCCTTTTGTTCTTGGCTCAAAAAACCTGCTGGCGGATTCTGCTGAGCAGCAAGGGGACCATTAAAAACAAAGAGTCGCTTTCAATTCCCTTTGAAGTCCAATTTGCTGCAGTAAAACTGCAGGAGAATTAACCAGCTGGGCTGCTTAATTTTGCAGAAATCGAGGAAGGGGAAAACATCAGTCTGACGCTGCTGGAGAAGGTGACGACAGCGTGGTGCTGAACTGGTCCTGAGGCTCTGCGGCCTCAACCTGCTGCTCTGGAGCCACACAACAGCAGCAGGACAGAGGAGGAGCAGGGCAAACCTCCTTCCCATTAAGGCTGCAGATCAAGAACCCATGCCTTGCTACAAGGGCCAAGCTGCTGACACAGAGCTTGGGAGGAGCACATCTTCCCGAAGACTATGCCCAAAGGCCACTGCCAGAGAAGCCAGAGTGAACCAGCTGAGGAACAGCAAACAAACTGGGAAGGGAAGAGTCCCTTGGCCTGACACGACCTGACCCACCGACTCCCCTCTGGGTCTGTAGGACTTGTGTCTATAAATATTTAAGAGATTGATTTCCATGCACCGCGGCGCTCTTTGGGCCCTCCTCAGTTGCAAAGGTGATGGCATCCTGAGCGAAGCTGCTCAGGATTCTGGGCACGGCCAAGGCTACAGGGGCTGCTAAAGCACGAGCACAAGAGGGAAAGAGAAGACCTATGCAAAAAAAAGAAGGGAACTAAAGATTTTTCTTCAAATATTTTCTCATCTGTGCACAATACTACCTACAAGGCAAGTAAGCCAGACAATATTTCATGTCAAATATACTTGTGCTATTTAACACAAACCCTGCTCACACCGCAATGCCAGCTTCACTTTCACCACTAGGTTTTAATACAGTTTGCTAGGAACACATTTTCCGTGGCCCCTTAGAGCTTGTAGTGTCAGGGTCCACTGTAACCATGTATAAATATGCATCTATAACTAAACAACGGGGAAAAAGAACTAGATGTATGTGCTACGTGATCCAGTTTCAGAGCTTAGGTAAGTAGTTGGTGTAAATTCAGCCGCATCACTGGCTTCTGATCTAGCTACAACCTGAAAACACGTTTTCCCCATTCACTCAGTAAAGCGGCTGGACTGCAATGAAGGGTAGTTTCCCTGTGTTTGGGCTGGCAGGGGGGAGCGGACTTGAAGAGAAATTTGATTTTCTAACTCTTCAAAGGTAAAGACACAACAGGGAAGAAGAGCTGTGTGAGATTCCTTTCTTCATCATCAGCACAAGATAAGTTTTTAAAGGGAATATTCCAGCATTTGCTACAGGCTCACCCTGAGAGAAATTCAGGCAGTGGTGTGAGCTGCTTGAAACATATTCAGAGATTTTACTACACAGAGAATATTTTATTCTGAAATTAGCTGTAGATCACTTTCTTAATCTCATTATTTTTCTTCTTCCTACATAAAATGATGCAACTATTGTTCAGTACCTTTTGCTCAAGTCAGATCAATAAACATAATTTATACAGTATCAACAATATCTCATCAACAGTTGGCAACATCAAAAGAGTTCTGTTTCCACTGCACAAAGATGACACAAGGGACGCAAACTGCTTTGCCTTACATTAGAGAGGTGAATAATTCAAATAACTACAATGCCTTTCTTTCTGATCATGGAATACCCCAGGGCTGGGAGCTATTTCATGACATTTACTTATTATCTGAAAATATTCAACACATGTGGGGGCTTTTTGGGTGGGGTTTTGTTATTTTTGTGGGGGTGTTGTTTGGGTTTTTGGTGGTTTGTGGGTTTTTTGTTTTGTTTTGTTTTGTTTTTTTAATGGACAGGTTGCAATCAGGTCCTTGCAAGTATTTGGTACGTGATATTCAACTATCAGTCAGTTACTGCAGGTCAAGCAAGAAACACCAAGCTGAACTGGAGGTGCACTCACGCACTATCAGTGTATCAGTGTAAAAGTTATTTATTGGGAAGTCAGCAGAGATGTTTCCTTTCCATAAACATCAGCACCAGCGGAGCCCGTGAGCTGCAAGGTGCTGAGAACTCAGCCTGGCAAACCAGGCCAGAGTCACATACAAATGAATTATTTGTGAGAACTCCTGCAGCATCTGCCCCACTCTACACTGTATCGAATCTATTTTTAAAGTCACTTAGAATTATAAATAAATAAACCAGTGTAGATTAAAAACTACATAGTGCCTCAACACCTACATGTAGTTTGTTTTAACGAACTCACGGCAGGCCTGGCCAAGGCACTGGCTATATGCAGAGCTACAAGAAATTAGAGCATCCCTGGCCACAGGAATTCTGCATGAAGGATTTGTAACCCTAGCAGCTACATACATGAATATGAGGTGCTGCAGGCCCTGGACAAGGTGCTGTGTTACTCTCCTGCTAAGCAGGCAAGGGGTTGCAGGTGCGGGGACCCTCTGTATCCCCCCTTACCTGTGGTATTTGTGAGCTGGAAGGTGATGGATTTGTCAGGGATGCTGCAGACATTGCGGACAGACACCTGGCACGTGTAGCTGGCGTAATCCTGGGGCCGCAGGTTCTTCAGCTTCAGGACTTTGGTTTCACCCTGGAAGTTCAGAAAAAAGGGTGGGAAAAAAAAAAAAGACACAGGTGTATAAAGCACAGCTCATCCTTGCAAGTCCGTAACCTGGCCCAAAGTCTACCAGTTTCCAGCAGCTCCCATCAACACTCAGGGAACTGTGCAGACTCTGAGCACCCCTAGCTATATATAAGGGAGACACAGAATGTTTGCAGTGGTAACTCCAGGATTCCTCAAAACACCCAGCAACTGACCAAAATTTAACCTGAAAGCACTGCTGAAAAGGTCTAGGCATAATTTCTTGTGACCTGCCATCAGAATCACCTTGCAGAGCTTGAAAAACTTTAAATGTCCTGGAACAGATCCCGAGATTTCACACTGAGGTATCGTTAGGAACCCAAGGGATATCCACTGGGGTCTCAACATTGCAAAATCAAAGTAAATCAGAACAGATTCAGGCATTAATGATGCCCTAAATATGACACATTCAATGGCTACACTGTAAAAATTAGCAGTACAGGGGAAAAGAAGAGTAATTCAGATAAATACTCCAAGAACCCCCCAAAACTTTCTGATCTCTCTTCTTTAGATTCTAACCTCATTTAAGCTGGTATAAATCCAGAGTGACTGTGCAGACTTTGATAGCCTTTTCTCATACTACAGTAACAAACAAACAGAATCACTCCCTGGCATTCCGTCAGTTACTGCCCTGTTGTAGAAACAGAATCAAGTTGTTTAAATTAACAATAGATGCTTTCTGTAGATTTTTATTTATGGAATGCAAAAAGTTCCGAGATGCATCCTGTGGTTTGCACACCCTGCAACTCATATGTCTTCCCACGACAGCTTGTCACTGTTGTTCTCCTTGCGTTTGTCTAAATCTCTTTTGGAGAAACCATTCCATAATTGCCTGCAAATGTGAGAAGGTGTCAGTACGACAAATCCTCCTGAGGACAACCTCAAGGGACCGGACGATGAGCTCAGGCACGCTAATATGCAGAGAACAAGGATCTGAACTGAGTAATTAGGAAGATAAATACCTAGGAGACCAATAACCTTACGAAAGTCCTGTCCCCTGAGATTTGTTGCTATGCCACACAAATGATGGCATTTACAATGTGCATGTCAACGACTTACTTACAGGTCATATGTATCCTGTTTATTGATTAGTAAATGTTGGGTAAATGTGTATAAACCTTCAGTGTAAATAAGTTTTTAAAAGCTTGAACAGTAAAGTCTTCACCTCCTTTTTAATGTATAAGCTTAGCCAAACCTGATGCTGACACCAGTTCACCCCTAAGACAGCAGTACAAATTCGTGTGAAGGGTGCTTTATGCATTTGAGCTCCAGCCAGATTTTCCCCTCCAGTAGTGTTGCAGAGGTGTCTTTTTGTTAACTTCAACTCTTGCCAACCCAAATGCTGTTTGGGTTTACACTGGTGCTAACGAGAGGACCATAAGGGCATACTCGTGCAAGCAGAGCTGTCCTAACATCCTCCTCTCAGAGTGGGGGTCGACCCAGCATGGTGGGAACACTGCCTGGCAGGAGCTGCAGGATGCTGGGTCACTTACGTGTTAGTACTGCAACATGGTGAATTTCTGCCAGATGCCTTATGCAGTCGAAGAAAGTCATGTCCTAAGACATCCTCTCATTAAGCAATTCTCTCCTGCTAATTACACTGAGCTTAGTGAAAGCTGTGAGAGCCCATGGTGGCTTCCCTTAGAGGCCAGGGATGTCCTGGTTGGATGCCACCTAGGACTGGACTAAGATAAAGCTCTCTTCAGGGCCTAACAGCAGTGCTGACCTACAGCATTTCTGCAAATCCACCGCTACCCTGCAGCTCTCTCCTCATCCCCCTGAACATTTCCATTTGGCTGCCCATTTCCATGACCTACAGAGATGGCATGTTTCAATAAAATATGAACACGACAACACTAACTGAAAGGTTCCCTGGGGCATCACTCAGAAACCAAACTCAGCCAGAACACGCTCAGGGCCCAGCTTTGGGAGCACAGGGAAGTGCATGGCATGAAACGGGTGCGCTTGGGAGCTGCCCTTTCAGCCCTCCCTTCCCACCCATCACTGCCTCATGCTGCCTAACGCCCTTGCTGGAAGCTCTGGGGCTGGTTAGCATTTGAAGGACATTTAGAACCAGAGCTCAGTTTAGGATAACATGCTCAGAGTGACTTGGCAAAAGAAAAATTCCCCTCCATCTCCCAGTGCATTGGCAGGCTAGTGAAGAAAGTGGCATTCAGCAGGGCAAGTCCAGCAAAGGCAGGCAGAAGCAGAAAGGATGTGGACACCCTGTCACCGGACAACAGCCAAAGTGCCCAGGCAGTTGAGCTGCCTCTGTTACTTGTGGCCATTAGGAACATTTGCCTCATGGATCCCACAGCTAAACAGAGAGCAATTCTCCTGATTTATGGAGCTCAGGAGGTTTAGATTAGATATCAGGAGGAAGTTCTTCCCGGAGAGGGTGGTGAGGCACTGGAACAGGGTGCCCCAAGAAGTTGTGGATGCCCCATCCCTGGAAGTGTTCAAGGCCAGGCTGGATGAGGCTTTGAGCAACCTGGTCTAGTGGAAGGTGTCCCTGCCCATGGCAGAGGGGTGGGATCTAGATGGTCTTTAAGGTCCCTTCCAACCCAAACCCTTCTGTGATTCTATGATAATTGGGGGGGGGGGAGAGAAAGGATATAGAGGAGACCTGATTTTGGGATGGTCTGCTTGGGTTTTAGTCTCAGCCATCGTAACCTCATCAGGGAAGCTGTGACCCGCTCTCAGGGACAGTGCGAAAAAGGGCAAGAGACTTCTATGCTGTTGCACTCCCTACTGCTGCTCTGCTCCTCTTGTCCCCTAGTTACCCACCAACAGAAGTAGGCTCTACCAGCCCTTCCGGAGACCGTGCTCCTTGCAGTGGCCACCTCCCTCTCCCCAGCACCATAACCCAAGTGGGAAAAGTAACACCAGCCACTACAGAGGGCTCTGCGTCAGCAGGATGCCCAGCACAAGCTGGTGGAGGGTTGCCTTTTCTCACCTGTGTGGTGTAGAGGGGTTCATAGATGTCCACACCATTGTCCTGACTGTGGGAAAGCGTCTCGGCTCCCCGCTTCCAGATGAAGCGAGCTGGTGGGTTGGAGTTGACAGTGCAGCGGAGGAAGACAGTCTTCTCCTGGTAGAAGCTGCCACGTACATCGCTGATGGTCTGGTGAACGGTGAGAACAGGCTCATCTAGATCTGGAAGGAAGGTAAGGAAGGCCGCAGCAGTTGTTAGTGACGCTTGGTCTGCATGTACAGCCTGCAGAGCAGACGATGCTCCAGGCGCTGTAGGGGAGAGAGGAAGCTCCCACACATTTGGTTGGTGACAACTGCTGAATTAAGAGATGATCTGAGGGCAGGTCACACAAACAATACTTAAAGGGAACAGACAGGAGAAGCCAGAACTCTCCCGCTCAGCACACAACCTTCAGAGAATAGAAAGCACCTTCTGGTTTGCAGATTCCCATGTAATGCTCAACCAAACTGCCTCCCTGCCACATGACTCTCAGCCCAGTGGGCTGCCTCACCTTCCCCAGTAACACCTCACACCCAAAATCACTGCTACTCTACTTCAGTGAGAGGTCAGAAGGATCCCAGGAAATTCCGCTGCATCATCATTTCTTCTGCTCCCACTTTCCACCTCACAAATCCCTCCTGAAGTCATGGGGTTAAGCCCATGGCTGTGAGATGCCCACATGAAAGACATAACAAACCTTCAAGTCAAGGGGTGAGAGTAGACATCAGGAAAAAATCAAGGTGCCGAAGTGGAGAGTCATCTTGCAGACAGAAGAAAGTCTCATGGGGTGCCATGGGGACATGAGATGCCAAACACCTTGATAAGTATGTACAATATCTCTTTCTTCCTATTAAAATGCCCTCTGTGTATTTTCTTCTTTTCAAGGTCTGTACTGATTCTCCCTCTGCAGCTACTTCTACTCACAGCAACCCCATCATCCAACAGATTATTTCGTGTTTTCTCCCCTTACAAAAAATGCTCCTTCCAATTCCCTCACCACACCAGCCCCGGACACCTGGCCATCATGACTGGATCCATGGTTATCAGTCACTTCACTTGCAAGGACACAAACAACAGCCCTGGAGAGAGTGTACTTATCCACTCAGGGCATACTGCTCCCCAAAGGCTGCCCTCCTGCTGATCTTGGGCTTTTGCACCAGACACCAATGTTTGAACATCAAAGAAGCATGGGGAAAACCTCAGAGGGGTTCTCCTCCTAGAACCACTTTGAGACTGATGGGGTTTAAACGTAAAGATCCCATTTTACAAGACTGGACCAACTGACCGTCTAAAACTGAAATCTGTCCCCATAGCCTTAAGCATGTCTCATAAGGCATCTGTTGAGCTCAGCTGAAGCAATTCTACATTTTCAGCAGCCTTATGACCCCACCTTCGACTGTGAGGAAACTGAGACACACATGCCAAGTATTCCCTTGTCCTGCCAGCACTGTCTTCTGCACATGTTAGCGAAGAGGAAGAGGACACATGCTTATCACCTCCTGCTCATCTATGCCAACTAATTTTCATGATATTTTATCTGAGAGATATGTAAGTTTGGAAACCTGACTCCCAGAAAGGAAGGGGGAAGCATGAATGAGTTTCTGCTAACGTGTCATCCAGATAACGCATGTTCTCTGCTGCATCACAAGTGCTGACTGGTGGATTTGCATATTTTAATGAGCTATATGCTTGGTAGACAGCAACTGTAATGGGACCTGAGATTTGTCGACTTGACCACACCATAGCTCAGAGATATGAGCTGAGCCATTAGCAGAACAATGACAAGGCACAAAAAACCGAAACCCATCAAAAAACCCCAAAACTCAAGGCTGAAGAAAAACATACACAGGTGGAAAGAAAAGATTCCTCTCCATGGAGACAGTGCTGTCTCCATGTGGTCATAGGGAGCCTGAATTTTCCACCAAATTCTTTTGGATCAGGACCTTGGGCACAGCCTCTCCTCTTCCCCCCTTCTTTGTCCTTAACCCTCCATTATTTGTTCATACTTTACATGAGTAACTCTGTAGCTACCGTCCTTCTGAGGCTCCATTTCTCAGCAAGATGCATGGCAAAACACTTCCCTTACTGATCAAAGAAGATACTCACCATTCAGGTCCTCTGGCTCCCAGCTACTCCCTGCACAGAAAACAGTATCTTCCTTTCGGTTGCTAAACCTTTCCTCCCTTGAATCTTTCAGCCTCCATTCGTAGCAGTCAGCTGTAAGTCTAGCCCTCCTGAGGAAAGCTAAAATAAGACTTACAACGATATGTATGTCATTGATGTATGAGTAACGCCACTGATGTCAGTGAGCTGCACAAATGATAAATTTGGCCCAAGGCTGCTCATGGAGATGATCACATGGGATGTTTCATGTGCAATATAAGCTTGTAAACATCCACTCTTTCTTTTTCTTTACTTTCCCTCTCTCCCATGTGGAAATAGTCTAAACAGCAGCTGCGTCTCTGCCACTATCTAACCAGTACTTGAAAGCCTCACTTGATGCCCACTTGGGACAAAGGAATAACTTGCTGCACAGATTAGTGTTTCCAGTTTAATATCCTCTTGGCACCAAGGTGCTCTCCGCACAACCTTGCAGTCCAATACTAAAAGTACAAGTGAGGACTAGCACTAGCTGTCAAGGACACCAAGGTTCACTTGAGGGTGATTACTTAGCTCCAACTACAAACTGGGATACAAGGAAAGAAGGGATTTGTCTTCAAGTTCTGGTTCATTCAGCTGAAGGTTGCTTGGTTAAGCGTTCAACAAATCTGTGGCTTTTCCTATGTGTTCCCCTTGTAACCATTGCAAATACTAGCAGAAAATAGTCTCTCCTCCCCAAAAACCAAGTAAGCAGAATAGAGGTGCGTTACCAAGTCCATCTGCAGAGTAGATGTTAGTATGAGAAAGCCCTTGGCCACACCATTAGCCCCATAGTTCTACAGGTCAGAGCTGCATGAGGAACCATGGGACACTACATCACTCTAGCTCCAGCCTGCACCCCAGAAGTAAAGGGAGAGCCCTCAGGACATGAAGAGATTCATGCCACAGTCCTGTTCCTTGGGACACCGGCAAGGTGTGTTACTGAGGCTTGAGAAAAGCAAGTCCCCTTTGCAGTCAAGAGTTATCATATGCTTCTACCACAGGTAGGAGAAGAAAAGGGCAGGGAAGCCAAGAAGATCTAGGTGGGTGTCAGAACTCCTCCAAACAAAGCAATGTCCGTGAAGAAACGCTCATGTTATCCAAAGTGGCTGCTGATGAAGGAATTTATTTTCCCAGCCTGGAGGATGGTGCTCACACTACACTACTCCAGTACAGGGTAGGGCAGGGAGGGAACTGAGATGGGACCTGCTCCAAGACACATATCACCCCAGTGCATCATGAACCTACCAAAGCCTAAGGATGTCCAAGCCTACGGCACACTTCGTGAGGGTCACATCGCTGTAGGGCTGCACAGTAGGACAAGAGGAAGCAGACAGGCAGCAGCTGCTGTCAGCAAAGCTCTGCCCAGACTCCAGGCAAGTACTGAGGTTTTGAAGCCTGGAGGTTGCTCTGCTGACAGATAACCACAGTGTACCTCAGCACAGAAGAGTGTCTTGCTAGTAGGAGCGTGTCACCTGGGAACTGGTAGTGACACGATCAGGGAGAGTTCCAGCTGCTTTATCACATTTTGCATCTTTTTAGTATCAACCTCTTGCTAGCTAGGCCTTCTCAGAATACAGGAGTGAGGAGAGGAATTTGGTGTAACTCATGTTGGAGAAAACTGGAATAGTGGATAGCCAAGGACAATGAGCAGAATGGTAATCCTCCCCAAGAGAGCTAATCTCTTCAAAAGTTGCCTAGACCTTAAATCTTTGAATCCTTCCATATGGGGGTTACGGGTTAAGTTTAACTTCCCTCTCTTTCGCCCACAGAAACCCAAGAATAAACAACTTTAAGTCACCATGAGAAATTTGAAAACTTGGGGCCCAAGGTGGAGAACCACTAACAGCATCTCCAGGACACAAGAAGGATGGACATTGCAACCAACTAGAGAAACAGTGAGTCACTGAAACCAAGTGGTCCTCACAGATTTCTTTATGTTCAACCCTTCACAGCTCAGCCTCCTCAGGTGCATCCTAGAGTCTTTTGCTCTGTTTCCACCATGCTATAGCGGTAGCAATCCTGGGAGCAGGACACGTTTCAGGAAGGCCCCAAGCGTATGAAGCACTACCAATTTCAAGAAGCACTGGCTTACTTCAAGCATTGCCAGCTTCAAAATGAAGACAAAGAAAGCAGAAGCCATCTACAATGCTGCATCCCAGACAAGTGCTAGGGACTCCTGGTAGTGACAGACATCACGGCACTTAGATAAGAATGACTCACATGGACAGGTAGGGCTATCTTTTTTTGTGGCTGGATCTAATCTCCTAGGGGAAACGGATCCTGGGGACACTGCACCAGTCCCTTTGCTCCTCAATCAGGTGTGCACAGTCCTAGGGCAATGCAGCACCCTGCCGGCCCCGCAGCGAGGCGGTAGAACTGTGGGAAGGTCTGGGTTGCCGCTAAACGACTTACACTGCACATCTACTCGAATGGACTTGATGGCAGGGACCCCAACCCCATTTTCTGCTTTACAGTAATAGCGGCCCCCCTGCAGCCTTTGGATCTTCTCAATCCGAAGGGTCTCGTTAAGCACTGACGTCTCTTGGAATTTGTCCGACGCGCTGCCAGCGGTTTTGGTCCATCTCACCTGCACGAAAAGAACGAGAGAAATGTAAACAATCAGTGACAAAAACTAGAGATCCCAAGGGACAGCAGTGCCTAAAGCTCACTGCCACCACCTGATTGACGCTGATGCTCTAGAAAGGGCAGTGGTGTCTACATCCCATGCCCAGAGCACTAGGCTGAGCAGATTTTCAGAGCTAATGACCATGGATTTATTTAGCCTTTGTAGGCTTATGATGAAATTGTCTGGGGGTCCCAAGACTCTCAGAGTCTCCTGTTTGCAAGGACACTTCAGCCAGCTCTTTAACCTTTTCAATTTCAATCTCATTTAAGTATTTTGGCTACATTTTCATGCTTTAATGACTGGCTGATAGAAAAGGAAAGAAAAGATTAAACAAAGGTTAGGATATGAGCTTAGCTGGGGAAGAAATCTATCCGTGAGGAGGGAGGGCAGAGATAGGACACAGGCCACATTTTATGTGTGCAGGTTCCAGCCTCCCTGATCATGCCTGATTCCATGCTCTGGTGTCCCCAGTGCATGTCTGGGCAACAGCAAACCACAACGTTGCCCACTAGCATGCTGTTTGCATCAGGCTCTGCTCCAGCAATTTCTCTGGCTACTCAGGCTCAAATCCCCACAGCCTGCCAGCACCTTCCCACACATTCAACACCCTTAGACAGGGACAGCCCTACCGTTTTCCTTGTTTCTGATGTACAGAGCTATCATCTCTCATCACTGTCCCACACCTAGACTGGTTACTTTTGCTGGCCTGGATCAGATAATTTCCTTTTTACTGTTTCCAGGATATGCTTTGATGGATAAACTATGTCAAATCCTGCCGGCTGAGTCTTTCACCCTCTCCTTTGCAATCATCTCTTAGCCAAGTAGCTCCTCACAAGTAAGTCCACAGAGGGGTTGATTGGTGTATGCAGATGTATGGCTTCTCAGCACAAGTATCTTTGGCAGGCTTGGGGAAGGTGGCCAAGAAAGCACATATATTGTACTTGGCTCTCTTGAGTGCATTCTGGCACATCCATCCTCATAGTACACACAGCTGCCACTCCTACCGTGTTCTGTCCCAGTGCGGCTCTGGTCCAGCATCTCTACAGACACATCCACGCTAACACTGAACCAGCCTGCTTGAATGTCCGAAGGGTGGCGATGTGGCTGTGTGGGGCTTGAGGACCCCGTAAGGCCCCCGAGGAAGGACTGCAGCAGTTAGCCAAGCTCAGCTCTGCACCTCTGCTGGGCTGTGACCTTGGCCACAGTATGGATATAGCCAGTGCTGCGAGTCTGAATCTGTCTCTTCCTGGTGGCCATAAAGCAATGACCAGTGGGGTCTGTATGGGGCTCCTTGAAAGTCACTAAAAAGAACTTCCCAAACTCCCCCAGGCAGGTTCCCCTTGACTGTACATATTGCAGGACATCACATACTGGAAAACACTGGAAAGTCCTGCAAAGCTTTGTGTACTGTTTTCCACGAAAGCAAGGCTGGCTGCTTCACAGCTAGTTCTCACACAACGGGGCATCCCTACCTGTCTCTAACACATAGGAGAAAGCTGGGCACCCCGCTGCCCACAGCTCTCCTCTACAAAGAAGTGCCATGGGGAGCGTGGGTGACAGGCATAACCCAAAGCTTACCTGTGGCCGCGGGTGTCCGGTGACCAGACACTGCAGGACCAGCGTGTCCCCCTCCCGAATCGTGTAAACACGTTCGCTGATGTTGTCTTCCTTCACCACACATGCTTGCCCAGCATGGATGATTTGGGCCTGAGCAGGAGCTGCGGGGAGGAAAGAAGAGGTAAGGAGGGAAACAAGCAGGACCTCAGCCCCTTACGCCCACTGCCCAGGGTGGCTGGTCTCGCAGCAGGGTGGAAGCGCCACCTCATCCACAGAGGGGGAGAGCTGGACAGTGCTGGTATGAGACACTAAGGTATCAGGAGATCAAATTGAGCGATTTTCCCCATCTCCTGAATGGCTGGTATCAACTGCTGTTTTAAAATCTTTGGTCCTGTTGGGATGAGCAACTTGAGGCAATGAAAAGCAGAATATGGAGGTTTTGGAAGGGGGGAAGTCCTGCATGGGCTGAGGAACAAGAATTCCCTGCTCTCATCTCTCCCAGAGAGGAGTACGTGCAAGTGGTTAAAGCAGGGACCCGGTCAAATCACAGCTGCTCTATGCCTGTCTAAACCAGCCCTGATTACTATGATTTACCTCGCAGGGGGCTGGGGTAACTACCGAGCAGTCAGTAAGGGCCTTGAAGGCCTGTACAGCTTTTCATACATGTTTCTAGAACAGGCACAGCACACGCCGCAGGAAAAGTGTCTTTCCCAAGTTACACAGCAACCTATCTCAGCCCTGAGCCAGAGGGAACAGCCTCTGTAGGATCAGGGGATCTATAATCTCTAGGGACCTCTCCGGCTAGGGTTCCAAGTGGAGACCAGTTAGTTACTGCCAGTCTGGCCTGGAAAACAATGAAGACCAGTGGAGTGGAAAAACACGTGGAAAGAAAGTTCCCAGAACAAAGTTTAAAAACTTCATGCCCCCAAACAGCAACCACATCCCACTGTAGCTCTGACCAGCAGCAGGGAGACACACGCTGTAGGAGAAGAGGATGTTATAAAGAAGCCTCAGCTACAGAGTCCTGTGCAAACAGCCCTTGGCTCCCTACTCCAGGAGCATCTGTGTGATCACCGAAGCGGCTGGGATGTATTGAAGGTGACTGTGCAGCCCAATGGGACACCTGTGCTTGTTCAAGGGGAAAACTCCAGTCGCACTTCAAGGAACAGAGAAACCCACAAATGCGTCTTAGAATTGGTGCCTCAGCGTGAGTCCCCCTGGGATACTTCCCTGTCTTGCTGCAACGCTTCCAGGTGACTCTGGAGTCACAGCTCTAGCTCCCATTAGTGAAATACAATGCAAACGAACAAACCACTAAGGAGACGATCAAAGGGTTTAAAGTGAGCCTTGGAGAGCCTTCTGAAACAAGCACAGATTTTCTTGTTGAAGCTGAACTGAGCACCCACTTTTCCCTCACGGTTAGTTGAGCTTCAAAGACTATTTTTTTTTTCCATCCCCTCATCCTTTTGGCATGACCAAAACATGCTAAACCAAATCAACCGGGCAAGGGAAGTGCTCAGGCTTATGCTGGTTTAATCAACCAGCAGCACAGACCTAGGGCAGGCTGGTCTCGGGCAGTAGAGAAGATCCGCCTTTGAGGTCAGCCTGGTGTCACCGCAAGGCACTTGACCAAGCAGCAGTGACACAAGAGCGGACCCAGGGCTAGTGGGCGGCAAGCTGCCCTTGCTGCTGGGGCTTTGCACCCTGCCACAGCCACCCAGCACCCAGGCAGCAGCACTGCACGTGCAGCAAGCCACTTTGTCTTTCTGCAGCTCTTTTTCCAGCATGGTGGCACTTGGTTAAAATCATTATTGCTAACCAAACTGTTGATTAACAGCAGCAATATGTGTATTTGAATAACGTGATAGCACACAGATGAATCCCTCAGCCTCTCCTGTCTTCCACCTCTGCAGGGTTCCCAGGAACGTGCCTGCCATCCCTCAAGCATCATGGAACGCTGAAACAGACTGCCAAAGCTTCACTGATACAACAGAGCAGATGAGTGACTTTCCCCTGCCTGGATAGCAGAAGAGTCTTGCCGAACCCAGGAGAAACCACGAACTAATGTGTGTGCTTACATACATCTGTGCATTTGTGTACACATACACGCATGGATGTACGTACAGATGCGTAAATGCATTAAGTAAAATAGTGGTGTATCAGGAAAAGATATCATGAATGCCTGTCAAGTGAACCGATGCAGAGGAATAATTCAGAAGCCTACATAACCATCTATATAATCCACCTTAATCCAAATGAGAGTCTCCTGTGCTCAGTACCCTTCAGATGTGCCATTCCACCTTTAACCCCACATGCGCTGCAGAGCCTCGCTCACAGTGCCGAGACCCAGGCAGCGACGCTGAAGAATCCCTGCTCTACGATTAAGACAGACCCTGTCCCTTCCCCTCCTGTATGATATTCCCCTCATCCCCGAGCTGTGCTGCCTGCATTTCAGTGGGGTGCTGGCACCCCGCAGCAGCAAAGCTCTTGCAGCCTCTCTTCACAGTCTGTGGGCTACATTTGCCGGTTGGTGTCTCTATTCTCCCTTTGCAAACATGACCTTGATGCAAAAACTAATTTTCAGCCACCCCATGGAGAATCAGAATATTTATCCGCAGCTCTAGCTCCCAGTTAAATGTTTCCTTAAGTTGCTCTGCTGTACCCCACATGGTATACAATGGAAGCCTTTCAATTTAGACTCTTTTCCCTTTGGTCATCTCAATTCCATAATTTCACCTGTCTTGTGTAACTCTTTCCTGCCACCTGCCTAAAAGCATTTCCACATGGGGAATTCTCACAGCAGAATCATTAGGTACAGTGGTACAGGATTAGAGGGGTTTCGTGCAACTATTCTGCTACCAAAATCCCTTGTGGTAATTTGCTGGTGTCTCTCTGAGTTTGATAGAAATATTATTGAAACAAATCCTTATTTAGCGCTACAAAACATTATATGGCACTAGTCTACAGCAAAACTACAACCTTAGGGATAAGCCTAAGGATAATTTTGTCCGCTTCTCCCAAATTCTCCCTGTATCCACTAAGACTACAAGCAAGGGTGTGCACCTCCAGCTTTGTTCATAGGTGCCTTACCTTGCTTGTGTTACCATCACTAACACCTTTCAGCTATATTCACTGGAAAGGGACATCACTTCAAGTGAATCCTCACTGCTTAAGCTGTAACATATCTCTCTCAATCACAACACAGGTCCCCAGCAGAACAACCAACATTTTTCCGTGTCTTATCCTCTGAATGAAGCCGCATCTCTCAAAAGGGAGCTCAGAAAGCCTGTGGCTGTCTTGGAAAGAAAAGCACTCAGGTAGAAGGCATAGGAGTCTGAGAAACTCTGCCTTTGGTTACAACTTGACATCAGCAAAGTGGTGGAGGCTGAGCAACGAACCAACTCAGCTCTTACAGGACTACATTAAATCACGAGACCAGACTTGGGAAGGTCTCCGTTCCAAGTTCAGCCTGCCACAGCACACAAAGGCTGAGAAAGTCACCTCGTGCCATATTACAGATGGGCCGGGAGACCGTGAGGATTAATTGCACTTTTAATGTGCTTGAACAGAAAGAATACATTATTGTTTGACATCACCCCAGGTCTCCTGGAGGATTTCAGTGTGCCGACAGTTTGCGCACTGCCAGCACAACAGGATGGCAGTACCGTGCCTGTCAGAGGAGACAGAAGGCCCTTAAGAGGGAAAAGAAAGGCTGGAGCATGAGGCCAGGCGCTGGAGATGAAGCAGCAATCTCGGCCATTCTCAGCAGTGCTCCACAGAGAACAACCCTTGCACAGATATAACCTGCCCTGCTAAGTCTTGCTGGGGCAGAATCCCTCTCCTCTGGCTGGCAAACCCCAAAGCAGAGGTCCAAGGAAGACATCGGATGACCTCCATATGGGAAGGGGGCACAGATGTTCCCCACCCTTTTTTCCTAATATTTTGGCAAATAGATGCATCATCACTTCCATTGCACTTGTAGGTAAGAGATCAACTTAGGGAAGACTACCATACAAAGTCCCTCAGAGAAACTAGGCCAGTCAAAAACTGAGTGCCAGATGCTTTATATGGGAAAAAATCAGACCCTGAACCTTGCAGCATTAGGCCCTTCCTTGGGAAAGGGCTGGGTTGCATTGCATTTGGCCTCTGCACTGAGATTTCCTACTATGCTTTCACTTGATATATTTAAACATTAAACCAAAAGGAAATTGGAGCAGATAAAATAACTTTATTCCCAGTGCAGTGTATTGTACAATGTTGTTATTACCATAATCTGGAGAGTTTATGAGACTCTTGGCGCTTAGAGGTTGCTAATATCATTAAAATGCAGAAAAGGAGAGAGAAATGGTCTTTTGGAGGGGAATGAGTAATCTGTATTTGGTTCACAGGTCTAGCCATTCATCTTTTTGAGCCTGAGATCCCATCGCTACAATGGCAGTGATGAGACCTCCCTCACAGAGAGGGAGGTGACTGACAGATACTGCAGTGACACTCCCTCAGTCGCAGTAACTGCAAGGGCAGGCTGGTCACCCCTTTTGCAGCACAGCATCAGCTGCATTTCACTGATGCCTTCTCAGCAGGCTAACACGAGCCAGCCCTTTTAGACTCTCTGTCCCACCATCACCTCTGTCAACCTGCACACGTCCTGCAGATGGCCTCAAGGATGAAGAACATGCATCTCCAACGCTGCTGGCCCAGCAGCCGCAGCTCCTGAATCCACCCACCTTCACTACTACCATCCTGCAGGGTAGGGAGAGAGGGAAGCTATATCGGGAGCTTTCCCTCTTCCTCAGGCTTGCAAAGCAAGTGATCCCCTCCCATACACCTGGTGCAATTATAACTCAGCCTCTTCTGCACATCATTTAGGCACAGAAGCCAGGGTCAGTCCTTCCCCACACCTGTCACAGGCTCCCTGGACTCACATTGCTCAGTTACATGACAGCAAGAGGGGCGGGGGCATCAGCTGGTAATCTGCTGCTTAAACCTCTCAGGAACCTGCCTGTCTCCTTCCCTCACCCCTTCCCGTCCTGAGCAAGTAAAGGAGGCATCTCCAAGGGAGTTCCCAGAAGGGGGAAAAATACATGGTATTTATAGAGCACGTGGGTTGAATAAGCATTTCATTGAGGAAATCCACGTGGCATGCCTTGCTGAAGAGCCACAT